GAAGTGCAACGGGATGGTTGGAGTAGCTGTTGCATACAAGGATATCGGCCGTAGAGGGACCAGAGAGGAATGTGGATTTGGATTGAATGACAAATCCTGGTCATTAACAGTTTCAGACAGCAGTTATGAATTCAAACACAACAACATTCCCACTCCCATCCCAGGCCCCCTGTCCTCCAGAATAGGAGTATATTTGGATCACAGGGCAGGAACTCTTTCTTTCTACAGCATCACTGAGACCATGAATCTCCTCCACAGAGTCCAGACCAGGTTCACTCAGCCTCTCTATGTTGGACTGTGGCTTGCAGAAAAGGCTGGACACACTGCTGAGGTGTGTGAGCTCAAGAAGAGAATAAACATAAAATAGTAAAATTTGATGCCATGTGGTACTTGTTGAGATGTGTTTAACCTGTTAGAGATGAATCTTTATGGATATAAGTGTATTCTTTAATTTCTTTGATTGTCTTGTTTTCACCAGCTATTCAGGTAAAACTGTTTATTTGGCAAAACAATATTTATTTCATATATAGTTTACAACAAAACACTGGTTAAATATAATGTTAGCAGAAAAAACTCACACAAATATAAATTGATATGAAAATAACTTCAGTATGTTTAAAAATACAGAAAAAGTAATTATATATCAGATAAGTTGGATTCAGGGTTATTATGGTGTTTGCATTTTTAATGTACTTTTTATTTTTAGATTTAAATTGGTGGAAAATGATTGTAAATGTTTAATTTCAGTTATGTTTTCATGAACTTTTTTTAAATTTACTGCTGTTTGTGAAATAAAGTGAGCAATGTACACTAAAGTTTCCTGTTTCAAGAAATAAAATATCACTAACATGATGGATGGAAACTTTTGTTAAGAGACATTTAAAGTGGAGCATTCAATAATGTCAAATAATGATGAAATTTAAGAAAGTATAACCTTAAAAACATACATACTGTAGGTCTACACTAATTTAAGTGGGAAAATATGGATGTAAAAGTTGAATTGGAAAGAAATTTAAATATAAGAGAAGAAAAAGTTTTCATAATAAGAAAAGCAGGAAGTAAACTAGCAAAGTGGAAAATGAAAATGAGATATTTCAATGTACGAATCATTATTTCAAGATGTAGTAATTCATGTAAATTTTGCTGTAATGGCTTTGGATTGATTGAGGATTTTACAGATATAACAGATTTTTGGAACTGATGATCCTTTAGATCCATTACTAGCAATATGTCTGTCTGATGTATCAGATGGAAAACTGATATATTTGTTAAGAATTCTGCTCCATATTGACAATATGGCGAGTTGCCTACTTAGGTAGGTTGAGGGGTTTAAATATTACAGGGCCCAAAGTGTGCCAAGAACATATTCACCACACCATTACATCATTGGCACTCTAAACTTGATTTCACAGCACTCTGACTACTCCCTTTCCTGGAATTAAGCACACCTGACTAAGCCTCCCTCTGTTTACAGACTCTTTACCCCAGGCATTAGGCACACCCGCTCTTATCACAGTCATATGATAAGTTGCAAAACAGGAAATTTTCATAAGCTTCATATCAGTGTCTCTATATAAAAGAGACAAGAGCAGCTTTTATCTGGTAACTGAAAGGGAGACGTTATTTACAGTGAGGAGACATGGCACAGCAGACGATTCAGCTGGATCAAGAAAAATTGAGCTGTTCCATCTGTCTGCTACTTTTAAAGGATCCAGTCACTATTCCCTGTGGGCACAGCTACTGCATGGCCTGTATCAAAAACTACTGGGATGAGAAGGTAGCACACAGCTGCCCTCAGTGCAGAGAGATTTTCACACCGCGGCCTGTCCTGGTGAAGAACACCATGTTAGCTGACTTAGTGGAGGACCTAAAGAAAGCAGAACATCCGACAGCTTCATCTGATCATGTCTGTGGACCTGAAGATGTCAATATTCAGCCTCACTACAACGTATCTCCACCAAAGAAACACAAGCTCATCAAAGCCACTTCAAAGCTTCAGGAGAACATCTGCCCTCGCCACGATGAGGAGATGAAGATTTTCTGCTGCACTGATCAGCGGTGTATCTGTTATCTCTGTTTAATGAATGAACACAAAGACCACGTCACAGTGTCAGCTGCAGCAGAAAGAGCCGAGAAGCAGAAAGGGCTTGGAAGAAATCGGCAAAAATTTCTTCAAAGAATTCAGGAAAGAGAGAAAGATGTGAAGATAATTCATCGAAAAGTGGAGGCTATCAATCTTTCTGCTGATAAAGCTTTCAGAGAATGTGATAAAGTTTTCAAAGATTTGATCAGTCTCATTGAGAGAAAAAGCTCTGAGGTGAAGCAGAAGATCAGATCCAAACAAAAATCTGAACAGAACAGAGTCAAAGAGCTTCAGGAGAAAATAGAGCAGGAGATCAGAGATCTGAGGAGGAGAGACACTGAACTGCAGCAGCTCTCACTGACAGAGGATAACCTCCATTTTCTAAATAACTACTCCTCACTGTCACATCTGAGTGCATCTACAAATGTACCCACCTGCAACAATCTTACTCTGCAGTACTTTGAGAATGTGACTGCATCTGTGTCACGGACCAGAGATAAAGTGAAGGCTCTTCTCAGTGATGAATGGCCCAAAATCTCAGTTGGAACGGCCAAAGCAGATATTTTACTGCCTCAAGGAGAACCCAAAACCAGAGACGAATTTTTGAAATATTCTTGTCAGATCACTCTGGATCCAAATACAGCACA